GTGCGTGTATCACGATGTTATCATATACCGTGAATGTTGCTTTCTTTCTCGTTTGCTCGCGTTGCCTATGCCATGCCTTTCCAGGACTCTTCCTTCTTCTTCTATCATATCAAGTGGGGAAGGGAGGGCGGCGGGGAGGGAGAAAGCATGAAAGCAAGCAAGCAAGCAAGCAAGAAAGCAAGAAAGAAAGAAAGCAAGAAAGAAAGAAAGCAAGAAAGAAAGAAAGAAAGAAAGAGCGCAATGGCGGCTTGCAGACATGCTATGGGGAGCTTGTGAGACAACCAAATACGCTACGGTTTTGGAGGTGGAGGTTTTTTCATAAATTTTTGTCGGTGTCTCGACTAACATCGATCGGTATGGGTTTCCTCCTTGCATTTTTTTTTTCTTTCTTGCTTTCTTTCTTTCTTTCTTTCTTGCTTATGTTCCTTCCTTTGCCCTTTTCCGGGTTGCTGCGTATTTGGCGGTAGGGGTGGGAGATTGCTCCCGGTAGGCGGTAGACAAGGTGGCAAGCAAGTAAGGTTGTGGATACAGTGCGGCAAACCTATCTCATGATCCAGACATCTGCTCTCCCCCCCCCCCTCCCTTGTGGGCAATATGGCACGATATGGAAATAGTTGATGCCGTGATTCTTTCTGCATAGGCTGAGGAAGTTATGGGTTATCCCTAGTCTGTAAAGGTCTACGAATGCACCCAGGTTTTCCTTCTGGTGCGAAATTCAGATTCCCCGTCATCTGCTATAGTGGGAACGTACCTGATAGCAAATCCTGTTCCTCTAGGCTGATGGTGTGTGGGTTCTATGGGGGAGGTCTGGCGCTAGGATTTTTTTATTTTTTTGGAAGAAAGCAAAAGGTGGGAGAGCGTAGTAATATCAAGTTCTCATTGAGCTAATGTAACCTCTAAAACACTCTGGGTTATGCAAACCAACAGGGAAAAGAAAAACATATCGGCATAAGATAGCCCAATGTAGAGGAATAAGAATAAGAGAGAAAAAAGAGATTAAATCCCAGCCGTAGTAATACTGAAAAAGCCAAAACAAAAGCATATAGTAATAGTAGGACAGGTCCCTTATGGAGCGAATATAACCCTTCAGAGCACCCCGGCCATGCAAACCGGCCATAGAAAGAAAAGCATACTGGCAGTGGACAACTGAATGCAAGGCGAATGGGGTGGGGGAAGATAACGGGCTAAATGTTACATAGTAACACCGATGAAACTTCTCAGTCGGAGCTTACGGGCAGTAAGGGTTCCCTCCTCTGGTAGCTTATAGGCCTTGAAGAGAATGCTGATAGTTTCCTCTAATGGACTGCATGTTAGCTGAAAATTGTCAGAGAAGATGGATAGTAGAGCTTACCGCTTAGGTGATCCAGGTAATATAGTGAACGAGGAAAATCAGCAACAGGTGTGTTTTGTGCCGTCCTCAATGGGCTCAACTGCGCGTCACACCTGGTGATGGAACTGTTCTCTACACGAGCTAAACCATTATAATCCCTGTGGAGAGAGAGTCAGTATTAGAGTATTTACCTGAGGATGTTTACAATCATGGAGGGCTACTGACACTGATTCTTGTCGTAGTTTCATATCAGCTAGCTGCTGTTCGACGTTTTGCAGCTGTTTGTTGGCCTGCTGTTCGAAGTTCCGCAAGCGTTGATCAGTGCTCTGCAGCTGTTTGTTGGTCTTTTGGAATTGTTTCTCGATCTCCTGGAACTGTTGGTTGGTCTGCTGTTCGAAGTTCTGCAAGCGTTGATTAGTGCTCTGCAGCTGTTTGTTGGTCATTTGGCATTGTTTCTCGATCTCCTGGAACTGTTGGTTGGTCTGCTGTTCGAAGTTCTGCAAGCGTTGATTAGTGCTCTGCAGCTGTTTGTTGGTCATTTGGCATTGTTTCTCGATCTCCTGGAACTGTTTATTGGACGATCGCTCGAGCTTCGTAAGCTTGTCAAGTATCGCCTCGAGAATTCGGGATATCCCGTCAAACCGTTGATCCATCCCTTCAATCCGTCGATCCACCCCTTCGAACTGTTGATTCATGTCTGTCCGAAGAGCCTGGGTGTCAGCCCGAATGTGAGCCCCCCGTTGTATAACTGGAATATTGGGGATTTTCCGGAGCTGTGCAGCCAGAGCGGCATGCGAGAGCGAAATATGGCCCTCCGATTGGGATATTTGGTCCACAGCTTTAGCAACAACATCGAAGTCTGGTTCTTCATCTATCGCAGAAGCCATTCTTCTGTATGGCTACTAGAGTATCTGTACTAGACCGTTCTCTTAGGCGTTAATGGTAGTTGGAAGCGGTTGGGGGTAGCGGAATTCGTGGATGAGCGTACTAAGTCCAGGTCAGCAGGTAGCTACTGTATTTCAGGTTACGAATTTTGGTTCACAGTGTTCAATTGTAGGAAAATCAGAGAAAGATAGAACCGCCTCTCCCGTTCATATCATGAGAAACTCACCAGTTGTAGGAATTGAAGCCTCAATTTAACTGTATATGTCTTGGGGGCCACAGAATATAGGAGAGTTTGTTTGATGGTTCGTGTTGTGAATCGCGCCCGGGAAGCTGAGGATGAGAGGAGGGAAATGAGGTTGAATGATGGGACGAACAAAGGTAAAGAGCTCACCCTTGACACCGTCTTATATTAAATTGAGAGTACCGGGTAATTCAACTTCTTGGAAGGCGGGGAAGAGCAAACCTAACTGAACTTCAATCCTCAGCGGGCTTTTTTTTTCCATCACGTTCTTCGTTGTTCGATGTATCAAACTGTGGAAACACCTGGGGAAACTCTTGGAATCATGTAGTCTCCATACTCTGAGTTGAGAAGCTCCTGGCACGGGTTAGTATTTTCCTGGCACGGAATAAGATCAGCACGCCTGATATCTTTGGTCTCATTAACCGGCATTTGGAATTCAGTTAACTTGTCAAAACTCTGTCCATTGCACCCTGGCGGGCTCCAAGAGTTTTTAGGGTACTTGTGTGCTGCTTGTTTGGAACGTTCTGGTGCTTTCACAAGGTGAACGGCGGCCATCAGATTTCGGGGGTGGTAACCCTCAACCAATGAGTAGAGAAGGAACGTCCTAATAGGGCAGCAGTTTAGCAATATTTTGACCTCTGACGCTGGCGCTGTCCGTCTCAGCGATTTGGTTGAGGATACGGGAAAACTAATAGCGGTTCATGGTTTTCTGCTCAACCCTGTGGCTCATCCATTCTCATGATTTCTGTTGCCATATTCACCTATATTGGTGTTGTCGGGCGAATGCCTGAGAGAGTGAGGTCGTACAAGTACTGCACTCGTACTTTGCAGTTTTACCCTGTGATACGGCCCATACGGGTACCACGGGGTGAAACTAGCATAAATGGATCAAGCGCTGGAAACGTTGGAGTTGCCTCTCCTGGTAAGGTACGATAGGTAGTATTTTTCTCCCCCTAATCCAAAGGAGGAAATTCTGGACGTCCTATCATAGCACGGGGTCTAGTTGTTTGACTTTTTACGGTAAATACCGTACTTGAGTATGATACCGTGCTGTACTGTACATACCGTATGGCACTCTTCCAAAGTCCAAGGTTACCCTTCCACAGCACGATCATCATCACCACCTCCACCGCCGGCACTTCAAACATCACCAACCGAATCCCCTCACAACCCAATCAACTCAAACAATGACAATAGAAACACCCAGCACCCCTGCCCAGCGTCCCCCCCCCCCCTGCTCCGCACAAACCAGGAATCATAGCTAACCAACCGCGCAGTAACATCGGAGGAAATGTCCCGTGCCCGCCTCCCGCTCGCCTACCGCGATAAGTGCGCGGGTCTACTGGTCCCGCTGAATCGCTGTCGGTATGAGGAGTTTTATATGCCGTGGAAATGCCAGGTCCGTATCCACCCGTCCCCGCCCTAGAGGAAGGGCGGATGGAAGGGGGCTAATAGAGCGGCGGATAGGATGAGCGGCATTCGTACGAAAAGTGTCAGTATGAGGAGTTTATGCGCCGGGTTAAGAAGATGGAAGAATTGAGAGCTGAGAAGGGGGGGAGGAGTGGGTTGAATTAAACTTGTAGGGGTGCCCACGGGGGGTTTCTGGTGTTGTGGGGTGGTGGGGGGTTTTATGATACTATACACTCAATACACACTGCTGCGCACTAGGAAAGAGGCCGGGGGCGGAATTTTTGAGGGTCTATGTTTGATGCGTTTCTCGTGGCAATGGCTATCAGCTAGTCGGCTGCAGTGCGTTTGGGGAATCGGGAGGACGAATTCATTTATTATTTGTGGATTGCTTTATTGGCTAGAGATATCATGGCTTTTATAGCAGCTGCTTACAAGCTACCTACAGGCGGTCTATGTTACCAACAGTGAAAAAGTCTCCCTCAGCGAGCAAGTGAATGAGGTAAGCCAACCAAATCTGCAGTATATCTCGAACCTACAATTCTCGCTCATGCATACACCCACATGTTGAATGAAGGTTGGAGCTTGGTTGATTGGCCGGTTGGCTGGTGGCGAATAACCATACCCACTCACTCGCTTTATCTAAAATATCCTTTTAGATATCATATCCAGTAATGAATCCGGGTACAAGTGAAGTATTGACCCACAAAACTACAGCCACTGTATACTAGCTACTAGAAAGCCCCGGGACTGTAGATTTCCTTAAAAAGAGTAATATCTCCCCTACTCTTTTTCTCTTATACCCGTCCACATGCCCCCCACCCAATAGCTATCTTCTTTCTTCCTCTTGATTCCATCAATTCACCGTCTTCCCTCCCCACAAACAAAACACTCCCATACGAGGGGCCGAGTGAGCAGGCAAGCCAGCATATCCATCCCGCCCCTAACAATCTGGTATTTTTTTCTTAAAAAAAAGTAGGCATATAATCGATTTCGGCCAACATCTTGTTGAATGGTTTTTTTGGAAAGTACCACCGACATTCCATTCTGTGGTTCGGCAAGACAACGTTGATGATAATTTTCTCGATCCGTCTTCGGGTTGGCAATGAGGCGGCGATTTATGTCCTGTTATGGTTAGAATAAACGGTTCTTACGACGCCCGCTGGGGTAATGGGTGCAGGAGGAGGTGGCGGGAGGGGAGGGACAAGCGATAAAGGGGGGGAGAGCGGGGGTGGTAATGGAGGCGGCAGTAATAAGAGGAGGTAGTGAAGGCCACTCGCTTATAGGGAAAAGGGGAATTTGGCTACTCTGCTCAGACGCGAATTGAGTCTGGTTTGCTGGCGGTAGCAAATTCCCCTTCACCCTGGTGCGATGGGACGGGACAGATGCGTCTTTTTTTGGGATGTTATTGGGCTCATACCAGTTTACATCGCTGAGAGATAGTTTGCGGCCGCGTTGGGCGTTCCTACCAGAACCCTTCTCATACTTGAGGTGCGCGCCGTTTGCTACTGCGTGGCGTTCCAAGGCTACACGCCGGGTTAGTAGGATTTCGTTATAGGTTGGCATGGGATAATATAGTAGCTCACATTCAATCTCAGAAGTCTCTTCCATGCGATCGTAACTCATGACTAATTCCTTGATCTTCATCTTCTCGGCTCGCTCTGCCTCTTGGGTGTTTCTCATTGCCATTGCAAGGCTACTGTTGCTTGGTAGCTCAACGACCTTGGTCTGTTGCCTGTTACCTCTCTTGGTTAATAAGCTAAATGCCATCATCCCACCACCCGAAGGCGGCGGGCTACTGGCTGGGTTGTCACCAGCATCGCTTTCGAAAGTAGCTTCTCTACTTAATGCGCTACCACCACGCCTGATTGGCAAGGGGACATCAAATAAGGGTTTCCGCTCAAACTTTCTTGCATCAACACTCTCCTGCATCAGTTTGGCAAGTTCACGATCAAACTCTGCTTCTGCCTCCGGATCTCTCTCCCCCTCTTCCAGCTTGACAACGATCTCTTCCTCATCTTCGCTCGAGGAATCCTCTTCGGACTCCTCAGGCTGTTCAGGAGCAATAGCGGGAGCGGGAGGTTCATCTTCCTCTCCTTCGTCAGAATGCTCCTCGTCCTGATACTGACCGCGCTGCTCGCCATCAGATACTGACTCGGCCTCATCGGCCTCATCCTGGTCACCAATACTTTTGTTCTCCTCTCCATCTGGCTTATAATTGTTCTGCACTGCCTCCTCGAAGGCTTTCCCGGCCTCTTCAAAGTTGGTGCATAGACTCCAGGAAGGTCGGACCTGGGCAAAGGTATCCTGAATAATAAACTCAATGTCCATTGACAAAGGATCTTTCGTAAATATATAGTACTATCAGCAATATGTCAGCTAGCCCGTTTCAAGCGCCGCGAGAATGATTACTACCTGGAAGAACGTGAGAAAGAAGTCTAGCTTCTTTTTCGCACTTCCCTTATCGAAGCACATTCCGCAGACGTCAAGCAACGTACAAACCAGTCGAATCCTGAAAAAGTCATCCGGCATATCCAGCGGACAAATATTACCCGGCCTGGGAGTACCGCCCTCGTGACCAAACGTGACGATCCTGTAGAGTGCATCAAAGATCACCGGTGAGTCAATGAGCTTGTAGTTATACAATTCTCCAAGGTATTTGACCTGCGCGATCCTCCGCTGGTTGTGTTTGAAGTTGTTCTGCTCCAAGCCAAGTGAGATCTGCTCAAGCACCTCATCGATGACAGAGTATGCAAAATCCTGGTGGTATCGCCCGAGCGCCCCAACCAAAATGGCAAGGATATGGACATTATTGTATCTTACCCTCCAGATCTTGGTGAAAACCTTGAATAGGAGCGAGACAACTTCTTCGTCATCCCAGTGAAGCTTCCTTAGCTGTTTCAGGATCTTGACATAATTCCGCTTTGTTAAGTCAAGATATATAAGCTTTCTGACAAACAGCTCCATCACGCTACGCTCCTTCTGTGCGATGGCTGGCCGCTCGGGGGGATTAACGTAGTAGAACGCATTCTCTATCGCGACACGTTCCTGAGGCCCAAGGTATTGAACTCCGTCCTTCTTCTTCTTCAGGGTCTCTAAAAAGGTAGTCATCCGACCGCTAGTCTCCGGGTTTCGGAGCAAGTATTTCCCACAATTCTCGAGGGCATTACAAATGACGTCAATATTGATTTTGTGAAAGTCCTGCAGGGCTACCATTAAACAATGGAAGATGATGTGCTGAGGGACGGCTCCGAACTTGGTCAACTCGGAGAGATACCGGACGTTTCTGGAACGAACTTCGGATAGTTCCTTGTCCTTACGACGCTGCAGGGATCGAAATTCCTTATCAAGATATTCAACCATTCCCTTCCCTATATCGGGAAGATACTTGCTTAAGGTAGCGATCAATCTCGCATAATAAGGAAGGAGGTCTTGGCGACCACGGGGAACATCTTGCAGAACTTTAAGAAGACGATTCCGAGAGGCTTTGGAATTCAGGAAGCAGAATTCAAAGGCGGCTTGATCGATGAGATCCCGGTTAGTGAGCTCAGGGAGGCGTACCAGTAGGGCATCCACCTGAGCACCAATCGTCTTATTCGCGATAGTAGTACTGGTGGACTCATCATTCCCGGTATTGCTCTCATCTGTGGGTGACGGCGCGTCGGTGTCCTTTAGCTCACCGGCAGAATCGTCGTCAGCGATACTGTCCTCCCCGCCAGATTTCTTCTCCCCGTCAGCCTTGGCTTCTCCTTCCACTTTTACCTCACCCTCAGCCTTCTTCTTCTTTCCATCTTCCAAGAGAATTGCTGGAACACCTCTGGCCTTCAAGTCAATCAGATCTTCGTAAAATCTCCTTTGATCCTCATCTTCCCAGATGCCGAACCTGCTGCCGTCTTCCCGGGAAGTAAACATGCTGCCGCCCTCCCGGATAATACTATTCCCATTTGCCTCAGCCCCGTCCTTTTCATCTGGCAGATCTGGCATCTCCACTCCTAGGACATCGGCAACAACCTGAGCGTTGGCAATAAATTTCTCTTGCGTCTTGACCAACTTCTCATAGTTTGCTTGACGATCTTCGAATATCTCCCCAGATTTTACATAAGCCTCCGCGTTGCGTGCCGATTGGGTTTGGAGGTGTTTGTGCTGCTGGACGATATGGGACTTGACGGCATCTAGGTAGCGGGCAAGAACATTTTTGAACCGTTGTTGGAGCTCCGAAGAGAGCAATGGAGGATCCGTAGAATCAAGTGAAGGCGCCCCATCGGCATCGGTGTTCATAGCCTCGCCGTTGGCTGGCTTCTCTGCAGATGTAGCACCATCCTCCTCCACATTCTTCCTCGTCAAGTTCCTCGGTCTGACTCCTAGTATATCGTAAGGGAAATTTTTAACAAAAAGCACGACTAGCGGGAGATTGAGGTGATCCTTGTCCTTATTCAGTAAATCCTTCAAAACCTCCAGTGGAAAAGGGTCCAGCTCCATGTCTCCGTCTCTCCTCTTCGCTGCATCTTTTCCGCTAACGGCGCTGGGAGGTTTGACGCTACCGCTGGCACCCTTAGCAGCTATGGCATCATCCACACTCACGGCATCCTGCACACTCCGCACAACGCCAACCAGGTACAATTCCACCCCAACCCTCAACAAAACCCTCTGCCTAGCGAACCTCTCCTTTTCCTCCCGCTCCTTCTGCTCGGGGCTCAGCCCCTTCAACGCATCCGGCCTCGGTGTGGCAAGTCCCCTGGCAAGCGCGAAGGTAAACTGTGGGGTGAAATCCCTCTGAAATCTCTGGTGCAGGGCGGACACCACCTCAACCGCCGCGGCGATTTCTGAAGCAGTCTTAGTCTTCAGAAGCCCCTCGTAGACGGCTGCTATAATCTCCGGGAGGTACTTTTCTAATGCAACTGTTTGGATCTCCCTGAGGAGGACTTGGTGCGAATCGAGGGACATGCGCAGCCGTTTGATAACCGCTGTGTTCTTTTTCAAAGTCGAATCGAGTGATGCTGCAGTCTTGAAAACGTCTGAATGTGCAATTGGTGAGATTTAGAGAAGGGAGAGAAAAAAATTGCACAGAGGTACCTTTCTGCTCATCCCAAGCGAGCTTGTTGAGCTCTCGTAGCTCACCTACATGATGCCAGCAGTTAGCTAGGGTGTCCCCCCCGAGTGTTTCCATCCAAGCATTTTCAACTCACGCTTGCGAGCACGATTCATGGCCGAGCTAGAATGTCGAGTTGAACTTCCAAGCACCGGGGAGTCCGGTCGTGAGTAGTGAGTGAGGCGGCAATCCGCTCAGCCCTTATCTACCGTATTGACCGTGCCACCCACAATAATTTTTTTCTCCCCCTGCCCTCGCCAAATGGAATTCCGGGCAATGCTCCCGCCAGATTTTATCTCCCCAGGGAGATTGGTGAAAAATTTCAATTGTCAGTAAGTGTTGGCGTTGATAGAGTTTGCTTGTTCAGCGGACGGATTCGTGGGGTGTGTTCTGTGCCGGGGGTTAAGGGTAAGTGAGGCGAACTTGTTCTCGTCCGCTCCAGAGTCACCCGGCCAACGAGAGAGCGTTCGCCTGACTCTTTTCCCCCTCCAAAAAGAAGCTGCCAAGACCAGAGGTCATCATGGTTGCACTCACCAAACTTTGACCGGTTAAGCTCTGTTTAAGCCCCAATTCACTTCGCCTCACGTTTTGTTATTACAGTGAAACCTCCGATAACTCCACCCTCCGATGTTTCCAGGTTTCTGGTATTTCTATCATTTGTCGGGGACAGGTTTCGTTCTATGGGCTTTCCTCCTCTAAGTTCTAGGGTTCTATTAGTTTCTCTTTCCAGGCAGTAAATGGCTCCTAAATTCTAGGTTTCATGTGCATAAAATTCTTTTTCATGTCACTTCCTGGGCAAAGCTATAGACAAATTGCCAGATAACTAGATAGTGAGTTGAATGGATATGCGTGTTTTTAGAATAAAGGGTCATCAGATGGAAGGGGTGTATTATTTTTCCGGAGTGTAAACATATGGAGTTAAAACCTGTACACTTTCATGAACTATCACTCATTTTTCTCTCAACTCCCCCCTTTATTCTGCCAAGCCTTTCCTCTATTTTCCATCCCCCCTCTACTTCTAAGGAATCTAGTCTCCCTACGTCCTGGAGATAACGGAGGTTTCACTGTATTATTATTGTTCTCGGACTTTCTAAACCGAACTGTGGCGTCTGCCCAAACTTCAAACTCCACAATAATATGGTACGACAATGTGATCCTCCCCACCTAACCAAACCCCCTTCGCTCCCGTGCCTTGTCCTTGCTGCGCCTGGCGGTCTTCGCCATTGCTCCTCACGTGTTCCGTAAATGCAGCCAGCCCGTTCCTAGCGGCCCCGAATTCTTTTGGGTCATCATACAAGATAAGAACGGAGTTTGCGGTGATCCTTTGGGCCTGTTGCCTTTCCGTCTTCAGTTCTGTGTTTACCCCCGAATCTCTGCGGATCCCGTAGCTTCCGAGAAAACCTACCGGTACAGTATCATACATACTCGTACGATACACAATACCAGCGAACCCCGGACCCTCCCTGTAGGGTACCATCAATGTTTTTTCATGCCAGCCAAAAGCATGGTTTCACTCACGGCCAAGCAAATAATACTTCGACTTCTATAAGTGGGAAAGTGCAGCCTTGGAGAGCCAGGAAAATTCTAGATGTTCCTTTAAAAATTGACCTGATCTAGGAGTATTTATTGGGGGGTTTTTTTTTCGAAATTTTCAGAGACATATTTGCTGAGGAAAAATGTGGTTTGTATGAAAGAGGGCTCTTATTGTGCCGGACCAGGTAATGAGAATTGTCTCATTCTTAGCGGGGCCCCTACCCCGGAATCCTCCTGGGGGATAAATTTGCTGAAATTTTAAGCTTATTTTGTAGTGAAATACCGGTACTCGAGTACAAGACGACCGCCGACCCGGCACTTTCTTTACTGTGTTGGGGTGCGGCAGAAAGGCTGGAACCTTGATGGTACAAGTACAGTGTTCTACAGGAAAAATTCTGAGATAGGCTGGTATTGAAAAGGTTGTCCCTCCTACTGTGGCTGGTGAACTGGGTTGATCCTAGATCCTTACCCAGGGTAGACTAGTACGATAAGGCTCGTATGGGTCGGTTGTCTGGTATCGCAGGGGGTAAGTCAGGGTTGAGGAGATGGAGGGTCTGACACCGAGATAGCAGTTAGTATGAAGAATTGCCTGGCATGGCACAGGATTGGTTGGGGGCCGTAAACTCACGATTTCGGAGCTAGATCCTGCAAGGATTCGCCACGGAATTGGCTCCGTGTAGCTGTAGAGAGTAGAAATCTTTCTTCATTACACTGTGCAGCTCCCCTTGTGTGGTGGGGCCGGCCAGCGCTCCACTACACCCCCTTCAACCCACTGAATGACAAACTGAGAAACAAACCGTGCTACGGTTTCCTCCCGTAATACGAAGTCACGCTTGAGAGGCTGTTCCGGATATCCCATTGTTCCCGATGAAATCTCTAAAGTATCGCTATCCAGAATAATCTGGTGTAGTTATACTGGCTCTTTTAAGGTGCGGAGTATGACCTTCTGAGTTATCAGCAGGAAATGGGCTTTAATGACATATGTGGATCAACTGAATAGTGGAGTGCCGCGGGGGCTATGGCCTGCTGATTATCCCCTCACACGAATAGGGCCACGTCATCAAAATCGTAGCTGCAATTGGGTAAGGGATAGTATATCTCGCCTTGCCTTTGGGGGGACAGAGTTCCCAGAAGCCACCCACAAGGCATCCGAGACCTGAATACCTTTTACAGTGGCAACTTTATTACCCTATTTTTTAACTTTAGTGAGAACAGTTTGATTATTATGGTACATGGAAAGGCGCCGATCCCACGTAGAATATTTCGATGATTTATAGGAGGCGGGAGTGTGGGTAGGGGTTCCGGGTGCCCCCTGAGCGGGGGGATAACTGGCGAGGTCGTCATTCCCCCTGTGTTAGGCTCTGGCATAGCAGATATTCCCTGAGTACAGCGGGAGCAACAGGCACAAGACCCGTCAGAGAAGGTCTCGGAGCATATTGTTCCCCACCTGCTACTGCTCCCTCCGATAGGGGTTCTTCCCATAGGGCTGTCCACTCAGCAAGAGGATCTCGGGCAGGCCATGTTCATGCAGGCAGAGGTTATAGTCCCCACACGGTTCTCCCATCCAGAGATCTCTCCCTATCTCTTATCTCGTAGTCTGATACACTCCTCGTGGGGGTCTTCGATCAGCTAGAGGCGCTCCCCCCGTCTGTGTTCCGGAACTCCAATGTCCCGCCCCCTCCTGTGTACCTTACAACCGGAGGTCCACCCTCTGCCGCAGTTTGGTCCGCATGAGGCCTTCCCCCCATCTCCGCCATGGCAACCAGAGGGCTTCTGCCTTCCCCTGTTCCCTCTTATGAAGCTCGTGTTGTGGTTCGTCCTGATAACATGAAAAAAGCCCCATGCCCGCCCCCTCGTGAGCCCATGCTACTTAAATTAGCATAACTGATTAAAACAGATGACAATGCGTCTTCCTACGTTAAAAGCAACCTTTGCCGCCTCTTCTAACGCATATCTGAAACTTGTCCATCTTATCCTCTGTGGCCCTTTTTTTCTCTTTAGGCCATCAATTATCACCAGAACTATATTCGGTGCTAAGTTTTAGGTAACTGCATTTCCTTCTCGAGGTCTGCCTGATTGTTTTGAATTTCCCCGTTCGTGGTTTCAAGTTCCCGGTTGATGGTTTCGATTTTCCCATTTGGTGTTGTCAAGCCTTCTGTTGAGTTCGGTTTTGGTATCTGCCGGTTTCTGGTTGATGTCCTCGAACATCGGATCTGATCAGAAGATCTGTGGCAAAAAGGAGACTATATTCGCACGTCGCTATAACGAGTGCCAAAAGTTTGAGACTTTTCATTCTCTATACTGGGGGTTTGAACGAAATCCTTATAGCGAGAACCTTTCATGCGGGAGCAGGACAGGATATTCAGAGAGGATTCGTTTGTAATCTCGGGGTTTCCTGTATAAAGAGATCTGTGGGTATGAGATGCGACTGTACTTTTAAAATGATGGCAGCCGCTCCTGAGAAATTGTGGGCGTGGTCTTGACAAAATACGTTTATCAACCTGTTATCAGGTAGGGATTAGGTAAAAGGATATACTTACCGAAGACATGTGCACTGTTTTTGCTACGTTGGTATGGGCGCAGTATGTGATTGTAGAAAATAAAAGTGTTGAAAAGCAAAAGCCATTCCACACTTCATCCTGTTTAAGCAAGACAACAGCTGTTACTTCTCTCCAGGGGTTTGGTGAACTGTGGAAGCAAGGAAGGAAAATGGGAAGCCGCATTCCTCCGGGGTGGTGCCAGTCCCTGTGGGCGCCCCTGGGCCCGGTGGTATGATGGTAGTGTATGGGTTTGTGCTTGAGGGGCTGCGGGGTGGGTCCGTCGATGGTATTGTTTTTTTTATTTAGGGTTTGGGGGACTCCTAGTTATACCGGTATCATATATAGTCGCACCTCGGCAGAATTCATGTCAAGAGCTTGGTGTTTTTTTGTTTGTCATAGAGAGGTTTCGGGCGAAATACCTTATAGCGCAAGCCCATTGTATGGGAGCCGAGAGAGTGCTTACCGGTCAAAGCACATCCCCCGCCTAGTTCAGAGAGCTCATCACAGAATGCGACAGTGTGGGTTTTGGACTCAATGGGAATCGTAGGGATTTAGCGGGACTTCTTCGGTGAAAGCGGTGGAACCTATCCGAAGTGAGCAGCTACTGTACCAATATTGGAAATACAGAAAGGGCCTACCATCAATGACAGTAGAGTATACGAGTAGTAATCACCTGGTTGAAGCCGTTCATCATATTTCTCAACAAACTGTCCGTCATGGTTGTGTAACTCGAAGGTGTCATTAAATAAACAGGAAATCCCCGGCACGCGATGGAGATCGGCATTGGTAATATCTGGTATGACCCAGAGGCCTCCGAGTCCGGTATCATGATTGCCTGAAGTGTATGACAGATGAAAGCACCGCCCATTGCAGAATGGGCGACAAGCGACATGTTTTATTGGCTATCTTGGCACCGGTATGTCAATGAGGTTGTTCCATCAGATCATAGCTGGAAATAGGGAATCTACGGTATCATACTCCTACTCGTAGGCTGATGCAACCACGCAGCCCCCACCCCTCACGTGACCTAGCACAGCATGGCCCCTCAACAGCTCGTGCAACCAGACTAACCCTTATCATTCCCCTGGCGGGACCAGAATCGATAACTCTGTAAAGTACGCTACAACAGTGCTGTAAGTTCAAAAAAAAAACTCCCGCCAACAAGGTGTTGTGGTATAGTTGGTTATCATACTGTAGCATTCCATCTCCCTGGTGTCCTCGGTTTGAGTCCAAGTGAAATCAAATTTTCAATAGGACCTCGTAGGTTCGTGGCTTTTTCCTAGGACCTCCACCCTTACAGTAGTTGCTTTTTGCATTTCTATTTTACCGAATCTTACCGATTGCTGTTACTTAATCAGGCTCGTATACAAGGTAAGGTCTGGGAATTTAACAGGATTCCCGGGGACAGTTCTGGGACTGCCCTGTGTCGAAAATCTTCTTGACCACCCACCGGGACAGCAGAGACCCTGTCACAAAACATCCACAGAAGAAGTACCGGTATTATATATGGGATTAAGGCGGAAGTTTTTGCCGGTTGATTTGGCGGTCAGAGTTGCACCTCCGGTGGCCTTGATCAACCCAATGAGTCCCTCGGCCCATTGTAAGGGTTGCTTATAGTTGCACTAAGAGTAAGGTATTGTACGAGTATGTACAATTCTGATTAGCGTTTGGAAAGCAGATGGGGGTGCATACCTAGCCGGCAAGGTGAGCAAGTGTTCTGGAGATCTTGGTTCCGGGGGAAGAGTGTGGGGATGAAGGAGTGCATACAATCCTCTGGTCTTACCATGTCTTGCTTCTTCAGGGTGCGAGTACTGGAATTTCTCCCTGGTTTTGTCTTCATTCCTCAAGCTCAATATCCCGCATCTAGGGTCCTGCATCTCGCTCTGGGCTTGACCCCTCTCATCTAGCCTACCACACTGAGCCAGTGACAGTGGCAGTGTTCCGAATGGTCAGTGAGCCTGTGATGACGAGCCGTTGTTGCCCATCCTGACAAGCTAAAAATACGATTCAGCGCTAAATTATCACATCCTAGACTCCCCTATCTGCTCTTGGCTTCCGTGGCGTGTTGGGCAGGTGGCAGTGTTCCTCCCCTTACCCATAGCTTGCGGAACTCTGTGCCCCTGGTACATCTCAATCTAAAATATTCCGTAGCTGTACGGATAGTCTGTGATTGTACGAGTACTCTCACATACCCCCACCACCACACATACACAAGTTCACAATCAAATTAATACCTCCTTTTGAATTTTATCAGGTCTCAAGGATTGAGTGAGCTCTAGTCTCCATCCATAACTAGCCCTTGAATTATTTTATCACCGCTCCTTTCCCCCGGTGGGGACCGGTTCGGTGGTATTAGGTTAATAATAAATGTTTTTTTTAAGACCTAAGATCGCTCGCAGACCATCACTCGTTTCCACTAGCCAGACCAAGTCAAGTCAAGTCCAGTCAGGTCTTGTAAACTTAACCATCTACTCGGTCCAACGTCCTACCATAGGTCACGGCGTGCCAACCCCGCCCCCCCTCATACCACTACCACCAACCGTTCGCCGATTGGCCGGTATAGGGAAATAGATTTGGGAATCTGTGTTAGGCCTTTATTCACAGATATGGACTCAATAGATGGTATGATCTGGGGATAACGGTGGTGTTGGGGCCAATGGCAACGGTGTTTGACCCTTGTTATCTGACATGCTGGTGAGGACATTCTTCAGTTCTAAAAGCAGCCTTACTATCCCCTCATGTCCCTCCTTGGACGCCCACGAGAGTGGCGCAGGGCCATTTTCAGTGTCTACTACATTGGGGTGGATATCCTGACGTTGTAAAAGTATCTTTGCTACCCCCTCATTCCCAGCCCCAGCAACAAGCGAGAGCGGTGCCCGGCTATATTTGGTGTCTGCCTGGTCGGGATGGACATCCTTTTGTCGCAACAGAATCTTTACCACTCGGATATAGTCAAGGGCATTCACACTCTCGGCCTGATCTCCAACATGCGATTCAGTACTACAGATATCTAACCTGATCAGTTTTGTGGTGTAATTGGATATATATATTAGTAAAGCCAATGGTTTGTTTTTTTTTAATTTCAGATGTCTAAAGCGCATTCATTCGTCCCCAAGACACCACACTAGTGTCAAGCGATAATGAACCCTCTAACAGCTCATGAAAGACAAATAGAAAAGAAGAAAAAAACAGCAACAGTTCCTGTCGAGCTCAACGAGGAGCGTTCATCTTAAGAGTGTTCGAACTACCCTTTGCGTTGAATGGGCTGGCGGGAGACGCTCAATCCCAGTTTTGATTTTCGACAGCCTTATATATATAAGACCTCACCCTTGCTTCTTGTGCAACATCATAACATATAAACTCGAATAATCAAATCTCGGGCTAGGACTTTGGAGCAGCCTTTGTTAGTATGGTGCTCCATTCTTTCCATTTTCTTTTGTCTTGAGCCAGAGCTCAGGGAGTTGGTTTTTCCATGTTCCCGGCCCCCTATCCAAGAGAGGAAATTTTTAGACATCTCAGTGTGAGATATAATTATTAGAGTTTTTACAGAAGTGCCAGAGTTTAAAAATTACCTAAGCCCATTAGTAGCTGCAACAAACATAGAACTGAAAAACATACTCATACCAATCCCAATATAATTGTGCCAACTCCAAAATTTATAATCTATTTGATATATGAGTCGGTCCTTTCTTGAAAGTTGGTTAAAATTATACATCCTTGTCTAGGACAGCATTCATAGTAGCAGTATTGGAAGCAGCATGTTCCTGGTATCAGCTAAGCCTAGTTCCATCTGATTTGAATTTTGGGTTCCCGTAATTTCGAGTTTGGGCATTCTGGCCATCAATGTTTTTTGGGGCCGTTGTTGCATTTGCTCTTTTAAGAAATGTAGAAGAATTGTTCTTCTTATTCATAGGATATTTCTGCTAAATTCTATATAGTGACTAATACTCACTCTACACAGCTACAGATACTCTAGACTTACCAGGAGAGTGATCCCAATATATGAGGTGACTAAATAGCAAGGACGGCCTCCAAATCTAGTAACTAGTAGTATAAACATCCTAGCAGATATATTAGTAACAAGAGCTGTAGAAATGGTTAGATGCAGTTATTAATATTGAGTAGGAAAGGTAGTAGATAGTTGGAGTGAAGGTTTAGGTGTCACTTCAGAAGCTTGTTTCCTAGGTGTAATATAAAAGCGAGGTAAACTACTAGGCAGGGGGTCCAAGGTAGGGCTCTTGTCCCATGTCTTTACTTTTCGGATTCTTAGGAAAATAAAAATAAAATCTAAGAAGTTGGTACTGACTACCACCAGTCACCAGGATGAATTATTTTGTAAAGGGGTCAAAAGAGGCTAAATATGATGTCAAATGTTTGTACAGTATGTTTTTATAATATTTCAACACACTATTCTCTAAAGGTGATACCCACAGAAACACAGAGAACCTGCCGAGCCTTGGTTGGTCAAAATGAGGTTAAATATTTTACTCACAAATTTTGTGTCATGGTTTTGTAGTGTAATGGCTAGCACTCGGGATTTTGATTAGTCGTCAGAAAAGGCGCGTCTACCAAGTTTCCCGCAATCTGGGTTCGATCCCCAGCAAGACCTCAAAATTTCTTTTTTTTTTCCTTTGGCCACGGTCCACACATGCCTCTCCCACAGTTCCCCGGCCTATGTATAGTTGATGGGGGGAGCCGAAACCCCATATCTGATTTTAGTGGGGACTACAGTACTCGTATAGAACCCGCACTGACCTAAATCGTCTTCAAAGCGATAACAAACAAGCTAGAAAGTTACAGAACCTATTCGGTATGACAGTTTTTACATCAGATTTTATAAGAAAACATTCGTGTCCTAGGCAAAATACGGCACCAAACACCGAAAAACTAGATTGCTCTTACAGCCCATAAGGAAACAACAGACATTATGGCGCCCCACAGAAAAATTAAATATTACTCGTGCGATAGAAACAGCAGTACAGTAAAAATAATACAATCACTAAAGCAACCCATATTAAACATCCAATTACCCTTGCTCCAATATGCTACACCATGGACTGGAAACCTTGATCCCCTTCTTCAAGCATCCGCTGCCTTGGCAAGTTCTTGAATTAAATTCCTCACCGCCTCATGCTCTTCCACATCCCTCGGTGGAAAGATCTTGACTTTTCCACCAGCACCTCCACCCAAGACGAAGCCCCCACACGCCGCCTTAGCAATTGCCAAAGGAGCAACATCCAACGCCATATTTTCCAGAAGATAATGCTTCAATGCCGCATAAAATTTCCCCCCGGGGAGTCGCTTCCCGCGGTCACAAAACTTGGCAATATCGTCCCGGGGGATAGTTATGGTGATTGTTTTGAGGGTAGTGATAGGCGTAGCGAAGGAAATCTGCACGTCCTTTGGTGGACCATAGGTATGTGACAAGTAGAATTCCACCGACCTTTGTAATAGCGATGACGGGAGTGCCAGTGGCAGCGGGAGGGTATCGAATCGTGTAGAGAGGTAAGTAAGCAGCGTATCCCGGAGGGATTTAGGTAGACGTGTTAAAAGTAACGGGAGCTTGGTAAACCCTTGGCTCTCATCTTCCAACCCAGTAGCTTCTGAAGGCGATGACAACAATAGGGATGTGTATGTCATCTTCTCATATTGCATCTCGATCTTTACTCCCGCGCCTGCTTCCTCCTCCGCCACCTCCTCCGCCGTATCCTCCTCGTTATCTTCGCTCGACGTTTGCCAACGAGGTAGCACCCCCCATGTCACGGCTTTTAACCGACCCGCTCGCCCCAGTGCTTCATCCTCGTTGTCGAGCGTAATGCGCACCCCGCGAAGGACGTCGCCGCGCAGGATCTGCTGGAGGGATCGGGCGTGCGACTTGAAGTCTGATCTCGGAGGGAATTTGTGTAGAGGGGATAGGCGGTGAATCGTGTAGGTCACGTTATAAAGTGGGTGGGTGGGTGATTTCGAGGATTGTGGTGGATCTCTGCTCATAGTGATGGTTTTGGCAGCTTCTAGGTCGATTGTTTAGTCCGTGGATGCACAAGGATTCGGTTGGGCGACTACGCTACCGCGGCAGTGTGGGTAAGTGTTCCATGCTGAAAAGTGCGCAGGCGTTCTAGAAATAGTCCTAAGACAACAACGCTGGTGAAAGTCCCCAATGCAAAGATTAAACCTTGATGTTTAGCATTCAAGTATGTATCGATCGCATCCTACCGTAAACCCTGGTGTCTTAGCCCAAACCCCACCCTCCTAACTTAGATATATCCTGCTCGGTTTTCTAGCCAAAGGAATTCCATAGCCCAATGTCCTTTACCATAGATTACCAAATATGTACCTCATTATGATTCGGCAACAATCAACCTCGTCAGGGACACCGTAGACGTACGCTCAGAATTCACAGCTATGAAATATCCCGAATGGCTGAGTAGCTACAAAATAGCATTCTTACGCTTAAATATCCTTAGCGGCAGCCACGCACTAAATCAAAATCCCACACCATTCAATTCCTTCCCCATCCCAGGTTGTTCAAACAACCCACCAAATCAAACCTCCAAACCGAGCATTCCCAGCACGCCAAAGCACCATATACCGAAAACATTCCCTTAAGCCTAAATTTCCTAGCTCGAGATATGATACTTGCTATTGGCACACTCTCAGACCCTACATAGGTTTTGTAGTGTAATGGCTAGCACCCGGGATTCTGATTCCCGTAATCTGGGTTCGACTCCCAGCAAGACCTCATTTTCAACATCCCCCTCAGCACAACTCTCAGGAGTTTGGGGGGTTTTTTTTTCTATTTCAAACAAAAAAGGTCGCCCCGGGATCTACCATTATTGCTGCTCTTCCTCCTATCTTTAGGATGAGTATCCATCTTACAAAGTGGTAAACCAGGGAGTTTACTATCCTCTACTGTCCCGGCGGTGTGGAATTTCCCTTGATCACATTGGAATTTAATCTAGTTTAACTGGTTCTGGGTTATTCTGAAACGGGTAATCGGGTAGTATCATATTAAATACAGTCAGGTTAGGTTATAAACTTCTAGCTCAAACACAAGTAGTGAACCTTTCATAGGTTGGAATAATTTGTACAATATTTCCCCACATCTTGAGCGCCCAGCACAGAGAGCACTAGGTGGCAAAATACCCTGGATTATTGTCTCTTACCGCACAGCCCAACAAAAGACGAGCCGATAAATGGTGAGAGCTCGTTACTCCAGGTGCCCACCGAGCAGGGAAACACTACAGCACTATGGAACAGGGTAGCCGCCCTTCACGAAACATGCACTCAGTTCCTCCTTGAAGGCTGCACGCTCAGCTTAGGATCATCACTCGCCGGGGTAATTCGTCAGTCAATATGTGTGGAGCGGAATGGGAGCCAGATGCTATAATAGTATCACTCATTTGTGAGGTTGATCCAGCCGACAAAAAAAAAAAACTAACCTGACTATGATACTTTACTTACCCTTTAGCGCTGTGTAGGGAAATCCGGCACCATCGACACCGCAAAGGAATAATCGTTAAGTTAGATTGGAAAGAAACAAAGCCAACTAAACCCAACTTAACCAACATAGTGTCACTAAGCCGATAGAGAAAGCAAGCGTTCCAAGCCTACGGAACCGACATTTTGCTCGCATAGTACCTAATCCGTCCCCAGACGATCTAATTCACCACCCCCACCTATACTCCCCGCATGAAAACCAGAATGTGAACCCTTATATCGACTCAATTCGCTACAGCCTAGAGCGACAGCCATAGCAGACAATAAATACAAATTTCCTAGTCCAGCACAGCCTTCCGGATTGCAAGAATCCAACCTCCCATCCCCCTTCCTATTTTCCCAATTCCTGCCTCGAATGCCGATTAACATTCTCCGGATTCCACCTTCCACATCGACAGCATTCCCATGCCAATTCCAACCATCACATATACAAGAATGATACCAACGGGCTCGTTCCATACAACACCGCATGTAGCAACGGCGCAGATTCGTAGGTGAAAAGAATAGTTAATCATTTATACAGGAGGGGGAGAAACCAGTCCCCCTATATACTAAAGACTAGGGTGAAGAGTTTTCCCAGCGTCCTCTCAGTCTGAACTCTAACCATTGAACTCTAACCATTTTGGATAACAGGACACTGCAACACCGCATATTGGAACTAAGGCGAGTGAGATATCATGAAGAGACTTTAATATCATACAACAGCAGCACCTGTGAACTTGGCTCCCTGCGATTAGAGAGAGAGAGAGGGCCAAGGTTATTATTGAGCAGTAGTCTAGAGCTGTCGCCTCAAGCGGGTTTCCTAGCCGATAAACTCCATATGGTAAACCTCCATACCACCAGGGATCTACCGTACCCTCTCCCTGGGATTCCCATCTAATTTCCCAGCATTCAGATACAGTAACACCCGTCGCACCATTGCGTCTATATTGGCTTCTCCGGTGAAAAAGGAAAAAAATCTGGTCCAAGTTATAGAATGAGGAAGGAGAGTGTTTCCATACAATATGAAGGCTATGTGACATTTCTATCAGACAGCAGAGATCACGGAATATAAATCGATCTTCCTTCTACGGGCAAATCAACTCAACATCGCCAAAATTCAGAAAACTAGCGCACTCAGCCACAGTTCTGTTCACAGCTGCGCAATGATGACGCTTCAGTCCAAGGATTAAAAAAATTGGATACCCATAGAGTTCGGGCATGTTATATATGCGCTTCCCCGCCACAAACACGAGCTGCCCTTTCCCCCCGGCTGTTTAGTAAATATGTGCAGTCCTCCTCCCTTCCATGCCCCCCCCCGTCACTGCAGCTTAACTTCTTTCTTGCTATCTGGTATATTACCCAGGCTAGGTATTCCCTAACGTTATGCTGAGAGTAGTAATGCAGAGGTTCGTGGAATTCCATGTTTCACCCCTGGGAAACGATTAGTCCATCCTAACCCATTAACCGCAGAGGAGGCTAGACCGAAGAAATCCCAGAGCGAGTGAAAGACTCATCACCCGTTCCAAAATCACAGACACAAGCTTTTCAGAAACCCCACAGCAACTCTCCAGAATCGCCGAAGGGGCAGAGGTCCGCCCCCTCGCAAACAGAGCTCACCAACTCGCTCAGAGATTAACCGATGGGATGGACCACTTTGTATACAGGGCACGATTTGTTTTTAAAAAGTCACTCTCTTTCGCTCGTCGCCTTGTCTCTAGCATCAGTTCAGGGAGGCAGAAAACTAGTAGTATGCTCACCACAAAATTATATATCGTACACATATCGAGCGCCCTGCATGATATAGTTTAGTCAATTGAGTTCATCACCATACTATCCTCTCCCCTCTACGGAGATTACCCTATGCGATCAAGAGATATGGATTCACTCGGGCTAATACCATCTTCTTTCTTTCCTTCAATTCTACCCCACACAGACGAGTAGTGCTCGTAGCCCAACGCCATTCCAGGATACCATCCGGCAAAGGTGGAGTCGACTAAATCATACAAGATACAAACAAGTACGATATCCATCTATTCCTAATTGCTGTATAGCGGTATCACGTGTCAGCAGACATAAATATCTGCGACGGGACTACCCAAAAAAAACGTCCTTAACCCCCCACGCTGGAAAGGGGGAAAAAAAAACCCCCCCGGTCTAGGTGCCGTTAACACAGTCGAGATATTTTCACTCCTTATCCGCAGTACCCAATTCTAGAGATCCACCCTGTACTGTACAAACACATAAAAACCAATGCTCGAGAACATATTAATCCCCATGATAAGAAATCTCTGGCAAATTCCCCCAAGTTATGTGATTCCATGCGCTTATAAAGTGGGTGGCCACCGGTATCGATCTCACATCGACCCCAGTCGCCAATACAGCTTTTCCCGAAGAGGGAAAATCGGGGAAGAGGAGGAATCAGAAAAATAGTCCTTCCGGAGTATTTTTTTTTTTTTTTTTTTTCACCTCCAGCCAACCCACCCCCTCGAGCCGAGCCACTGCTCATCGCATCGAAGGGAGGTTTTGGAAAAGAACTCCCTATTACGCACCACCCAGACCCAAGGACAATTCCTGCCTCTCCCTCATTCATTCACTACCACCCCAGCCCGGAAAAGAAAAGTGCGGTAGCTGGGCCGACAAATCAAACCAACCAACCCTCTTAAACCCCGCGATCTCCATCCCGAAACTCGGTGCTTCCATCATTAACTATGATACAAGCCAATTCCCCCCCCACTCACCAAGTCTCACTCGGGCATAAACGCAGAATGCTACATGTAAACCACACATCGCACAGTACCCGACAGGCGGCCGGCCAGAAAAACCGCCAATCTAGTGTACGCCCATCTGTCAATCCTCAGCAGGGCGGGTGGCGAGAATTTGAATCGGGGGTACAGTACGGTATCACACTCGTAGATCGAGACATGGTGTTTGATTGCCGAATGCTTAAACGCCGGTTGAAGGGGAATAGGAGGCCCGAGCGGCTTCCGCCACCTTGCAGAATTGGACAAATGAAAGAAGAAGAAAAAAAAAACTGGTATCATATCATAGAAATCCCAAGCGGGGGGTAAGAATACTTCTCTTAGGGGGGGGGGGGGGGAGGGTCACGGGTTTCTTTCTCACAGAACAGGGCATACCCACGGTACTACAACAATAACATCCCCTCCCAGATACACTACCGTACTTTGGTTATGTGCTTCTCTGTGCTCCGCTACAGTACTCGTACTCGTACAGTAACCAACCCCTGCGCCGGACACCCATGTCTCACAACCTTTATACCCTGAACCCTTCCCCCAAAATCCCGAATCCCATCCCATAAAACGCCACAAGGGTTCCAGTACAGGTATCCAGAACAAGGCCGCGGAAATATGATAGGCAACCGCTCATCCGAGGCTTGCTATATAATTATTATTATATATACAATATATACAATATACAACTCGCGTAAACATATAGAAAGGGAAGAACGAAACCCCTCCACAAACAGATACCCTTTGTCACCATCGATCGGGATATATAGAGAGCCTGAGGAGGAGGGGGGGAGGGAAAGAAAAATAAAAATAAAAATTTTTCCATATGATAACAAAAAACCAACAGACATCTCTCTCTTTGGCTGGCCGTTTGTTTTGTTGGTTGGTGTACGTATACTGCAGCTTAGTGTACGGTACGGTAGGGATTCCATCAGACAAAACCCAACGCCCCCCCCCCCCCTCACGCAACCGTCAACCCTTTTAAAAACATGACCGAGATCTCACTGCCGTACCGGTAGATTTTGCCCTGAGACAGGGTCCAACGGTATAATACTGTACTGGTACGGTGGAGCGCACGGATGTCATAAACGGAGGGGAACTGAACACGGTAGAGGTATAAAAAAAAAATAGTAGAATCTTGGTAAGAGTGTCCTATCTATCAAAGGGAGAAGAAACTCACTCATCTTTGACTGATCCT